TTATTTTTATAAAATTAATAATTTTAATAATAATAAATAATAATATTTAAAAATTACACTTATTTATTTTTAAATATGTTCTTATTAATCATTTAATGTTAAACAACAACCGCTAATTATTGTATAACTAAATAGTTATATTTATCGAATCCGTTATTTACCATCTGCTACCCATTTTTCGTTATCCACCATCCGTTATCTGTTAATCGTCACTCATTATCCGCTATCGCTATCCACCATCCACTAACCGCTATCCACCATCCACTATCCGCCATCCATTACCCGCTATCGCTATCCACCATTCATTAACCGCTATCCACCATTCACTATCCGCTATTCATTATCCGTTGAATTTTAACCGTTGTAACAAACAAACTTTAAATGAGTTTGTTTGCCCCTACTGAATGTAGCTTGTCCTCTTTCCATCAGCACTAATTTTTTAAAATAATTTTGTACCATTTAAAATAAGAAAAAAAAAACGCGTTTTTCATTTATTATATTGTCAATCCAAAAGAGTTTTATTTATTTTTGACTATTTTTTCAGCACAGTACAATTTTTTTTTTTTAAGAATTAGCAGAATACAAATGTTTTAGATTGACATCTTAAATTAAAAAAAATTAGATTGTCATCCTCCTTATTGAAAGTGGAGTATGAGTTATTGCCTAAGAAGATTAATAAATTGGAAAGAAAAGTTAACAAAATGATAATCAACATAAGTAGTGGCATAGTCAGAAATTTTTTAGAGGGGACCAAATTAAATTTTTGAAAAAAAAAATATGTATCTTTACATTAATTTAAAAGTTAATAAAGAAAATTTTAATTAAAAAATTTATTTTAAATTAAAATTTGTTAATCTTTAATGATAAACTAATATTAATTGATGGTATAATGTGATATATATGACAGTAACTTAAAGATAAAATAAATATATATTGAATAAAAGAATACTAATAAAAAAAGTAGAAAAGTATTATTAAATAATTATTTTATAAAAAGATGATATTAAACAACTTTATATTTAATTAATCTTTACTTTTTTATTTTATTTTATTTTATCTTTATTTTCTTAATTTTCTCATAATTACTAAAACTAATCTTTAAAAAACAAAAGTTAAAAAATAAATTAAAATGTATGAAATAAGTAAAGATTAAAATAATAAAAATATAACTTAAAGGACCGAAATTTTTATTTCTTTAAAATTTAAGTGGGGGCCTATATGCCGTCAGGCCCCCTTTATCTCCGCCCGTGGATGTAAGTTGCAGAAGGTCAATTAGAACCAATATCCAACTACTTAGATTAGAGGAGAGTTCATTATATTTTAGAATCGAATTTAAGAGTTGGGGAGAAAGACCAATAGGGTACTGCAAATGTTGAGGGACTCAAAAGGTATTTAAATTTTCTTTTAACAAATACAATTTCTGGGGAATGGGCCAAGTGCACTCAAACCACCCACCCTATAGGCTAGGGTTCGATTTGGTATGGTTTGGGGGTTTTTTTTTTTTTTTTTTGGGAGTGGGAATAATGGAAAGAATGACATAAATAAACTAGGGGATCTAGCTGGTTGTTCACCAAATTAAACACCATTAATTATAATAAAATTTAATTTGATCTTTAGAAAAGCATGAACTTTCCCCTAATAATGAAAAGGCAATTCCTTCCTTCTATATATGGAGGTAGTCCACCAACTTTTGCGGTAAGCAAAAGCCACCTTTCCACTCTCCCAAACACAAGATCGACCCAACCTTTCTTCACCAGTTTTTCAGTCTTGGGTCAAAAGAATCTCCCCATGTCATCAATATATTAAAAAAAAAAAAAGAAAAAAAAAAGGAGTTTAAACTAGTTTTGACAAAAGCTAATTATCATTTCTGCTAAGATAAATGAATTACGCAATAAGAAATGGAAAGGATAATATATATTATTCCCAATATACTGTCCATGCCTAATGCCTTGCAGTTGTATGAAGTTTAGTCTTTTGTGTCCACTTGGAATCTGAATTGATTAAATTAAAAACGTTACTATCCAAATGGTTGGGAGGTAGGTTTCCTTCGTGTTTTAATTTTGAGGTTATTTCGGTGTCCTTTGATATTTATGGTAGGAGTAACCATTTATTTATGTTGTGTTTTCCTTTTTAAATGCTTTTTAAATCCGTGCATGCGTGAAATCTTAGAGAAAACTCCAATCTCATTTAATTAATTCCTCATAAAAAGAAAGGGCTAAATGAAGTTATATATTTTGATTTATTTGGTTAACGAACTTAATTAGCTGTTTGTACAAAGAAGAAGAAGAAGAGAGTCGGTTTGGTAATTTTAGAAAAAGTTAAACTAATATTTAGCTTGGCTTAGCTCGGAAAATAAATTTCCAAGAAGATAAATATAACAAGCTCGGCAGTTGCGGAGCTAGGGGGATGCGAGGGGGGCGCTCGCCCTCACTTGAAATTTGAAAATCTTGCAAATTAATATATAAAAAATTATCTAGTCTCCTTTGAACTTTAAAAATTTTAATATTTTGCCCCCCAAAAATTTCTGCCTCCGCCCCTAAAGCTAGGAAACTTCTGCCCGCTGAAAAACTTGAAAGGATATTGGGAAGAAAATTTTCCTTGCCATATAAGTTTCATTGTAATGGTTAAACTTATTAGTAATATTGTCCACTTCATCTTTTTAAATCTTAAATTTTTTTTTTTTTAATACAAGGGGTGAGACTCAAACCTTATATTTCTATTAAGATAAGATTGGTTTTCACAAGATATAATTAGTCATTTAAATCATAAAAATTTCTCTTTAAATCTTATAATTTTACAATGTATTAATAAAAAAATAACATATATTAATTTATATATCTAATATCTCTTTTATATTTTTTTCATTGTAGAATTTACATTATATTAACTCTAAAAAAACAAGTTGTATTTTTTCTCCCATTTTGATTTTTTAATTAAAAATGTATAAAAAAAAGAAAAAAGAAAAAAAAAAGAAAAAGAAAAAGAAAGGAAGAGCTTGATTCTGATGTATGTTACAATCCAGGTACTGGCGCAAGGGGGCCGGGATCTTAACTTCACCAGGTACTGGCGCAACGGAGAAATAATGGCATGTCCTCCCGTAAACTTCTTTAGGTGAAAAGTCTCAATCAAGTACATCCCTTTTATTGGTTTCTCGAACAATCTGTATACCCTTTATTTTTTTTAGTAGTCTGAAAATTAAAACATTTTCACGCCCTAGATATTTATTATGATTATTAGTTGAATGAATTTTAAGGGTAGTATTTAGATTTAGGGATAGTTGTGATGAATGTTTTAAATGTTAAGATATTTTGATTTTTATATATGTATTTAAAAAAAATTATATGTTTTGGAATTGATGTTTAATAATTTAAATTATATATTAAATTACATTATTTTTAAGAAAAAATTAATAACATAAATAATTAAATTTGGACTAT